TCTCACCTGCCTAGCCGGGCACCCCCCACAGTCGTCCTTCACACAGATGTTGTGTGACGTACACATTGGTGAGTCCAGATCGCTGCTCATGTCACGCTTTCTCCTCCGCAGCAGCACGTCTCCAGGTGCATCCGATGGCGGGGGTGGTACGTAGCTACACGCGGTCTGTATTTGGCACTTTTGGCCCTTACCACAGTGCACGTCTGTGTTACACTCACTATAGCTCTTATAACCGCAGAAGTGTCTGGAACGTGGGAGGGGACAAAAACATACAATAGTCACTGAAACATATTATCTAGAACGTGGGATAGGACAAAAACATACATTAAAGTGTGGTAAAAAATCCGTGGTGTAACGTATTGTCAAATATCTCCTTAACTATTGAACATACATTCTTCAACGTTTGCACAATGGCTTATATCAATTTGTCTTAAAACTGATGAATATTTTTTCAAACACCTGAACGCTGTGTTCTAGAAATTTTAAAAATAAATACTAATATAAAATCCGAGTCGATGGTTTCTACAGCTTTTAAAAAGTTTACAGCTCGGGCAATATCGTTTTTAAAAGCAAGTCCATCATTCTTTTCTAATCGCGACTTTATGCTTATTGAACGCATATTTTGAGAACCTTTAGTGTAAAAAATGTGTTCCCTATAAAACTAATTTTTTGTAAGAAGTTTTGCCACTGAAAAGTGTCATTCATTGGTGAGCTGTGACGTTGGCCATAGGCGTATACAAAATGAGTGCAAGAAGCAGGAAGTGCTGTGAACAATTTCATTTTCCGCGTGACGGAGATTTACAGTATTTTACATAAATTTATGAGGAAAGACTCTCTCGGCCTAGAGGTTAAGGTGTTCACCTCTCATTCAATAGGTCCTGGTTCCGAATCCACATAGTGACGGAAAATCTTCTTCTCTAACTCCTTTCATATCCTTTCCTGCTCTCTGATAATGTTTCATCGTCTGCTTTTGTCTCCACGTTCTGCCCCCACCCCCTCACCTCGTTTGCCCCCTCCTCTGGGCTCCTGATTCTTTCAGGAGCCTTTCTACTGCTACTCCTTGGCTTCTTCCTACTGGTGTCTTTCAGCCCCACGACTCATCTTATGGTAGAAAAGCCTTCTCGGACAAAGGCGAAAAAATCTAGGAGGTACCGTGTGCAAGTTCCCTTGATGGTCCAAATATCGATATGAGTAGGCTTCGGCCAAAAATCCAAATTTCTTAACAACTGAAAATGCTTGGTGTGTCCAGCGGGCTCATATGACTTTATGCAGTTGTGAGCGCCGTAAAACACTTTAAACAAAACAAAAAAAGCGCACCAGGCCGTATTAATTTCAGCTGGAATCAATTTACGAACCTTTTTGCGCTTGACGACACACAACTATGTCCAGGGTTTGCGGTTCTGGATGTGGATAGATCTATATTATAATTAATAAAATTATTAGATAAATAAATGATTACATTTTTTCATTTCGAAGAGATGTATGTCAAGGAATTTAGTATAATGGAAAGAACACAAAAAAAGAGAACTACAACATAAGACTGCACTATGCATAGCTCAGGAATGTTCGAAGAAATGTACTCTCTTCTTTGGACTAAAGTCCTTGGAAAAGAGAAAGAACTAATTGCTGATTCTTGTGGCTAGATTATAAGATATATACAGATATATTATATACACTTGCCAAAAAATGTATATATTATTATATGTTTGTGTGTGTGTGTGTGTGTGTGTGTGTGTGTGTGTGTGTGTGAGTGTGTGTGTGCGTAAACGTCTTGCACAGTTTCATCTGTAAAGACAAGTCGGCTGACTAACCTGAGTTTCAGGCAACCTTCCGGGGACTCGTGGCTAGATCCAGAGCTGGGGACCACACGACATTCCTGGTCGGAGGTGCAGGCTTCACACGCGATTGGCTCACATTTTGTGACCACGACATTGGTACACACGTTACCGGACTTGCAGTTTCGTGGTTTGACGATACATCTCTCTCCTAAAATGGGCAAGATGGAAGAACAAGTAAGTATGAGTGGGTGTTTTATCCAACATTTGCTTGAAATTGCGTTTTGTGTTGATGTATTTGTTTGTGAGTTGGCTAAAAGTTAATAGACCTATAGAATCTAAACGCCTGTATGTAAAAGTCACTGTAAACTGAGGTTCCGACACATATTCTTTGATGTAAGCTTAAAGCGCAAAAAAGAAACACTTTTTATACGAAGTCAAAATTAAAACAAAAATGTTTGGTCTATGGTCTGCAGAAGTGCCATGCAAAGTTTCATAGGCACAGGTAAATTGCTCAGTACGCTAACATTTTTGACGCGGTCAGACGAAAGTGAAGAAGCTATAGTGGTAGTGGTAGTTATGGTAGTGGTAGTGATGGTGGTAATGATGATGGTAGTAGTAGTAATAGTAGTGGTAGTGGTAGTGGTGGTGGTGCCAGTAGTAGTAGTAGTAGTAGTAGTAGTAGTAGTAGTAGTAGTAGTAATAGTAGTAGTAGTAGTAGTAGTAGTAGTAGTAGTAGTAGTAGTAGTAGTAGTAGTAGTAGTAGCAGCAGCAGCAGCAGATATCGTGAA